CTCTCTTTGGGCGAAGGGCCTGGGTGAAGGACCCGGTGCATGGAGATGGAAGGGCCGCCAGTGACCACTCGTTGACGACATCCGTAGCGGTGAATCTCAGTTGCCTGAAGTGACGGCGACAGTCCTCGGTCCGGGTCCGTGTAAGTGCCCACTCCCGAGCCCGGTTCCGGCCTTGACTAGACGACACGTAAGACATCACGGAGATACCGCCGTAATGCCATCATTAAACCGTTGACCCTCTTGTCTCTGCCCAACTCCGAGTCCGGGAAAGATTGTCAGCGCTCTTTCACGGATACTGAAGCGACCGGTACACTAACAGGAGCTCCTGTCATCCTTTCCTTTCTTCTTTTCTTCTGATCACGAGAGGGGAACCATACACTTGAATATTTGGGTAATTACTCCTCCCATCCTTCATGAACTTCTTCCACACCCTCAAGCGATGCCTAATACTATCTAAAAAGAGTTCTCATGATCTGATGATCTACGTAGGACCAAGTGAATGTTCATTCAGCTGCGCTTTTGACACGTGCGGGATTCCTAACACCAGTCACTGGTAATTGGTTCGTCATTTTCCTCGTCTCCTTCTTCCTTCCTTTTCTCTCATCTTTGGTTGTTGTTGAAGATGACGGCCCATTCCATCACCTCCACTCCGCGGATATGTCATCTGGCCCGTCCGGCTCCGTAGATCCTCGCAATTCGGTTCGCTGCAACCGTTACACTTGCAACCATCACCACTACAACATCACAAAAAATGATAGTGTAGTTGCACTCATCACCTTTATCCCAACACCACCATGACATCCGGGGAACCTGGAAAAGCTTCCCTTTGAGCTATTCCCGCTCGTCTTCGGGTGAAAAATTCAGAGGTTCGGTGGGCGATTCTCATAGCGCACCTCATAGCGCCAAAAGATCAGCCCATGGGAAGTTGCATCGCGTCTGCTTGGCCTCGTCAACCCTCCCAGAGCCCTTGGACAAAAAGAGCTATCACAAGCCTGCACCCTTCTCAGAGAGGAAGTTATTCCCTGCTCTATCCTGTTCCCTACCCCCACCATTGCTACCCTTCACCCACCGAGGCGCGGAAACTAGCGGTTCTTTAGCTGCCTTTTGCCATTCCGGGCTGCTAGTCCTGCCTGTCATGTCACCTGTCCAATGTACCGCTAGCTGTAGGTGATAGCGAGTTACCATTCATTCACTGGTCCGTTGGGCAACAAGGGAGGGGGTCAGCCCGCCAACGACTTTTCATTCCTTCCAACCAACGACAACCATTCAGCCAACGAGAGAAAAGCAAAGTTAGGCGAAAAAAAAAAAGGGAAAGGAGTTAGAAACAAGGGAGTCCTCGCCTGTCACTTTTTCGTTAACGAGGGTCAACGAGGGGAAAAGCTGGACGCTCATTGCTCCGACCAAGTTTTTGGAAATTGGTGCCATCACATCCGTCCACTACCATACACATCCTAATCAAGATAATCGATCTAATCGGGGTCTCCCGCTTGATCGAGATTTTGTGGATCCAGATTGGATCGTGTCTAGTAATGTCTTATTGAATGTTGGAATGGAACATAACAAAACCAGGTACTTGGGCCCTAGACTACACTGCACTGCAACGATGCTCTCTCTCCACTTCCCTCCTTCTCCCCGTCTTGTCTTGTGAAGAAAAAAAAAGAAAGAAAGAGAGCAAGAAAGATTTGTACTTGGCGTTGTCTCTCTATCCATCTCGTCTTCGCTCAGATACACACACCAGACCCGTGCCTGTCATCGCGCGAGCTGGTTTCCTACAAAAGCGTAGCGTAGCGTAAAGGGCCAGCTTATTGTACATAACTGACACCCTAACCAAGCCGGCTGCCGATGCCTATTCGAGCGGGTGTTCTGTAGCGGGCCGATATGTCATCTGTCATTGTCAGATTGAGGGGAAGTCAGCAGTCAGGGCAAGGCACCTTCACCACTACCTGACCATTTCCATACATAGGTATGACCAGAGACACTACAGACATGGTACCAAACGGGCTTCAGCATCTTTACTTTTGATCAAGTTAGTCAGACTGTCATAATCCTCAGATCCTAGTCATGTTGAGCTTTGCATTGACACACTCACACGTTATCCAAAGAAACATATCATGAAAATGCTGTTTGAGGCCCGAAAACTTGACCGCAAAAACACACAAAAACCGAACAAAACGCCTTACATGCACGGATGGAAGCCGGTGCAGTAGCATCATGCATTGCATGCATCTTCCCCGTTTCCGCTGTGCTGTGCTGCTGTTGTCAGCCATGAAATGATCCCGCTTTTCTTGGTCCATCCAGCCCAGCCATGAAGGCTTTTCTTCTTCTTCGCGCCCGCTAACTGACTGACTGACTGACTTACTGATGAATAATGGTCTGGCGGCGTCAACGTGGGTGTAACATCATACCTGCCTCTAGCGTAAGGGTCTCAGATGATCGTGATAACCCAAATGGAAAAAAAAAGGAATAAAAAAAAGTGAGAATTGAAACCGGTGAAGAAGCGCTGGATATCCACTCCACGACACACTACGGGGAAAAAAAAGAAAAAAAGAAGCAAAGTGTGGAATTTCTTCATCTGGAACTCTAAGTGACAATTTCCTAACCACCTTGACCACTTTTGCCTTTTCATCACGACATGGAGCCTTGGTTCTCCACCACCATACCACCTCGACGCTACCTACGAACATTGTGTACATAGTACATAAGGTACATCCATTGCAGATTATGCACGACAACGGACAGTTGGTGATCTGTTGTCAAGCCCTGATTCGCACACTCTTTAGTCCCTACCAGGCACACATCACGTCTCTACCCGGAAAGGCGGACAAAAAAATGATAACCCCCCGTCCAACCCTACCTACTGCCCTCCAACCCAGCAACAACAAGACCCAAGCATGTAACCGGACAGCCTTGGAGGAGTCTGGCTGGGTCTCTCCATGCTGATCATGCCATGTCTGACGCGCTATCTGACGCGCTATCGAAGGGACGATCAAGATCAAGATGTGATATCTCTTTTTTAGCGCAAACGGGCCTGGCGGGCGGCATCGCGGAAGCAGATCATCGGCGATATTAGTGTAATGTAAGGTATGCCTCCGAAATGGACGCGGGCGGGATGAACCTCCGCGGAGGAAATCGTTGGGTAGGTATGTGGATAGCTAAAACGTCCAGACATCGTTGGTGACGATGGTTTACGGAGCCTGAGCCATGAAGTCGTCAACAACGATACCTAGATACCTTATCCAGCTAAGCGCACACCCAAAAAAACGATGGGAAGTATTTGTCGGCGATAAATGTAGCGCCTTGCCCAGCTTAGTGAACGTGGAAACACAAGTCCCAAATTGACGAGGGGCGGGTGTCAGTCTAGCCAGAGCATCAGCACCCAAGGACATATCCTGCATGACAGCCTCCATGTCAACACGTTGGAAGAGACGAAGCAGATCTACTCGTCTGGGCCTGGAGTCTGGAGGGGGCTTTCCGAGCCCAGACAAGTATGGAGGCAGAGGGCATAGACATTGAGCTTGACATGTGGCGTCATGATCACAGTAAAGAACCATGTATCTGGCCTCACTGATGTAGAGGTATCTGTATCAGCCGTGGCACTAACCACACCCAAGTCTCTGAGCCTTATTCAAGGACTCAGAGACCAAGGTTGCGCAAGGCTTTCACTTCCCAACCCATAGTCTCATCCAGAAACACGCCTCTTTGGGATACGCACAGAGTGGGTGACCGATGACGGAGAAAACCTTCCACAGCTGCAACTGCAACAACTGGACCATCGGGCATGTGATGTCCCGCGGGTCTTCCTGAAACACATCGACCTTCGTATTCGCGTTCAGTGTTCAACGTAGAACTGTAACAGACGGAGATATTATACCCGAGTGAATGCTCGTGGCTTGTCTGACCGTTCCGTTGCGGCTCAGCAGGGCAGGAAGGACGGTCTGGATGACGAGGCTGTGTCCATAGACCGTGAAGAATGTCGAACACTGTTATAGAAACTCCCCATGAGCCCTTCAAGCCAGCGCGGCTGCCATCAATGATGCCGCTCCATACCCACGTCCATGCCGTATCATCAAGTTTCTCCTCTTCCCCGGCCGTATGTGATGGTCACACACTGTCAGGGCAGACTGCCAGAGATACTCCGTCATGAACGTAGCCCACATTCGAACGGCACCAATGTGCCGCGGTCCATGTGCCCGCCTTCATAGAGAAATCCCCGGTCTTTTTCGTGCTACCGGTCATATCACGCTCGGTTCAGTTCCAGACCCGTGTCGGTACCACAACAGTTCTATCACCTCTCACAGAAGACCCGCGGGATGCAAGGAAGGCTTGAAAATGCATGGTACGTTGATGCTGACGAGGTCGCAGGATCGACAGAAGAGACACTGGGACTCTTGGACGGGAAGAAGCAGGTAGTGTGTGACAAGTGGTCGGGGATCTCATCGTGGGGCCGGTGCTGACTGGTACCGAGGGGTTTCATGGTTTTAAAGCCGGTGCCACGGAAGGGTTCTTTGGCCCGTCCCGGGCTTTTACTTTCGCAACTTCGTAGGCACGGTACCCTCATCAGCAAGAACTTCAACATGGCTCAGTGGCGATGATCCCGATCGATTGTAGCCGGCCTAGACTCGACTGTGAGAGACGGAAATGGGCAGTCTCACCAGTCTGCAAGATGCCGGGCAGAAATGACATATCAACATCCAGAGCCATGCAAGAAGGGGGTTGTGGTTTCGTCCCAAATGCATCACATCCGAGATCATCCAGCGGGTTGATCTTCCGTGTGACACAAGGATTGTGTCCTTAAGACAGCAGCGCCAGCGTCTCACGGCCGGCATGGGAAACCTGGGCGTTTATCTATGCAACTTTACGTACGCATATGTGAAGAGCGATCCTGTCATCATGACCCGGTAAGTTATCAGGTCCAGGAAAGATTATTTCGGAGGCCTTGCTTTACAGCGGGGACATGCACGCTGGGAAGAAGAGAAAAGAAGTGGGCGTCTTCTCCGCAATCAGAACCTGCGCTTCTTCTTGGCCGGCACCGCGGCAGCTTTCCTCTCCAGCTCCTTCTGCAGCTCGGCTCGCTTCCGATCTGCTCGCTCCTCGGAAGTTTCCCGTGGTCTGGGTGCCGCGCTGGGGCTATTGCTTCTACCGCGACTGGCAACCCTGTTATCTGGCTTTGGAGACGGCGCTTTCCCAATCATTCCCAACTTGTGTCTTCTCGGTTGAGAAGCAGGGGGCGGGGATGGCGATGGTCCAGGTTCAGGGTCAAGCTCAGACTCTTTCTGCTTCGCTTGACCACCTATACCCCCTATACGACCAAGCCCCCCCTTTTTGGGCGCAGGCTTGGATGAGGGGGATGGAGTGGGCGCGTCTTCCTCTGCTTCCGAAGCTGTTTCTGAGGCCACTCCATTGTGTTCCTCGGGTATTGCTGGCGACGGTGAGCGACTAGGCGGTCGCTTCCGGCCGCCAAGAATGCCCAGTCGACGAGCTGGAGTGCTCTTGGCCGAGGCCATGGTAGAATGTGGGGGTGGGCTCTGGGTCATCTGCACATCTTCGTCCTCGCCGTCCGATGTGGTGTCGTCATTGTCAATGACTGCCTGACGCGTGGTAGTATCACGTCTCTTGTTCGCTGATCTGAGCCCAGGCGGCGTGGCTTGCACTTGGAAGCCATCGTCATCGTCTCCTTTCGCAGGTGACTGTGGCGGTGGAGGCGTATGTGTTTCTCTCTTTGACCGTTCGGCGAGGACAACCTTCCTTCCTCTGCCGAGCTCAGTCCACCAGGTGTCTAACATGGCTGATGCTTCAAACTCCATTTCGGGGTTCTGCTTGAGGCCAGTATCGCGGAAGACGGTATCAAGGAGCGCAGGAATGTCTGCTGATCTAGGGGCTTCTTGTACTCCATCTTTTCTGAAGTCTACTTCGACAAAGGGCGCGAGACCCTTGATCTTGCCTTCTGCTTCCTTCCTCTTGACTTTGCGTTTGCTTGACAGCTTGTTGAAGGTGTGCTCGAGCCCCATACCGTTGGACTCCAGCTTGTCTACAAGTCTGTTAATGACGGCGTCCTTGTCGCGAATGGTAGCAATGAGATGATCGATCTCTTGGGCTCGAGCTTCGTGCGATTGGATCAGTGGCAACACAAGTTCCGTCGCAAGCGTGGAGGCAGGACACTTTTTCAAGTACAGTGGCCACTTCAACGGCTTAAAAGGCTCGGGGAGGATGCAAATGATGTGAGCCTCAATGGAGTCGTCTTTGCGTTTGCTGAGAGTCAGAGATGTGTTGGAATGCTCTGGATCGTCAACGTCGAAGGCAGCTCTGATCCAATCCAATAATCTTTGCAAGTTCTCATTGCCGTCTGTTGGGTCAATACTGGTGTCCTCAGCGGATGCTCTTCCCATAATGGGCCTTCTCTCCATGTTCTCAACCCAGATGTTGGCAAGATCGGTGAGGTGTACCTTGTACGATTGGGCTGTGAAGTCGGTGGCAACCAAAAGGTTGGGTATGCCCGGAACGGCGACTGGAAGTGGCCTCCATGGCGGAGAGTTCGACATTGTGGATAGCTGGCCAATGATCGGAATCGAATCGCAGATGGACACGATCGGGGCTGTTCAAAGCGTCTGGGTGCTGGGTGAGGCAAGCGTTAGACGAGAACGGGAGAACATCGGACAACAAATATATGCCATGCCTGGGTCAGAGTAGAACGGAATGATTGGGTGGCTTGATGAGGCTCTGGTGGTTAGGCTAAGACAACTTACCTGATGTGGTGACACGAGAAGCGGCTGTACAAGTACTTGGCTGTGACACGACGCGAGCTCGATGGCGTGTTGAGTCTCTTGACGCCTAGGCGGCGGGATACACTCTGGCTCGGTCCCTTCCGGTACACTCTAAAGACGCTGCGGGGCGTTGTAGGGAAATGTCGTGATAACTAGGTAGGCAGGCGCAGTACCTATGTTGGTCTGTCTGTCAAGGGAGCTTCATTAGCCAAAGTGAACCCAGCCACGGCGTATCCGGTCACAACAAAGGGCCTAGGCCATCCATGTGGGATCAGAAGTAGAATCCTTCTGGCACGCAGTAACACAATCTCACAGCCATACAGTCATACCAACCATGTGGGAGTTCCTGGTATCGTCCTTGGAGCCAACAACCGCCTCTTGTATTGGAAATGAGGCGGGCCAAGTGTTGCAGAGTGTCAGCGGTACCACTGGGTGTTTTTTTTGGCTGTCCGCCGTTGCGAAGAAGGCAGGCTGAGTGAACCAGTTCTGAGCGGAAGTCGTCAGGACTTTGGGACGAAAGATGCCTCGTAAATTGGATGGGAGCTCACCTCTGAGGGAGATGGGGTCAGAATGGTGAGGAGCCTCAAGCGCGCGGGTGTCGGCCGATAAGATGATGCAATGCCGGGACTTGGGTCTTGTGTGTCACGGCGCACAGCGAGAAGCGCAAATGTACCGACCTTTTGTGGCGCACTGTCCTGACCGTCGTGGAAGGGTGAGATTAGAAGTTGCGAGGTTGAGCCTCTCGTCGTCGTGGTGTTGCTTCGACCTCAAAGTGGCAGCAATCGAGTCGGCCAGATCCAGAGTGACTGGAATCGCCGTGGCCAAATGATCCTTTTCTTTATTTTTCTTCCAATTGAGAATTCCACTGCGGCCAAACAAGTTCCGTTTGTCGAAGGCTCCTTCCTGCTCTTTGGATTCGTTTCGCGATTGTGATGTGATGTCAAGCGTGAGTAGGAAGGAACGCTGAGAGTCCGTGCACGATGGGTGCTTGCGTGCAGGCAGCAGTGCTCTTCACCGTCTGCTCACCGAGGTGTGAAAGGCCATTTGTGGTTCTGCTACTAACAGGATTACGCCCAACGCTACGTAATAGCTGTTAACACATTAGCAAAGTTGCGCCTGACAACGGACAGGATAGAAACATACAGTGCTCTTTCGTTCGTTCGTTTAAGTGTTGCTCTTCCATTCCAGTGTTCTACATCAAGGTGCGCGCAGATCGATTTGTTGAAGCAAAACGTTCATCGAAATTGTGACGTACAAGAGCAAAGAATGTCCCATGTCCCGAAGCCGGCCGGAGACGTGGATCCCGATGAGGCCTGGATATGTGGGGCTAAACCGCCAGTTATTTCGTAGTTGTTGTTGTTGTT